CTCTGTCTCTGCCTCTGTCTCTGTCGCTGTCTCTGTCTCTGTCTCAAGTGTTTTTTTAATCTTAATCTGAAACTTTCAGTTAAACCAGATTCTGAGACAAAGACATTTAAAGAAACATTTCTGTGTCTTTTTAAAACCAGATCATGTGTTTCGTCTCGTTGGAGAATCCGTTTTAAGGCTCAGATTAAGACACATTTATATAACTTTGCTCCTGTTCTGGCTTCTTCCTTCGTCGGTTCTTCTGAAGAACAAACTTCTCTGAAACAACTGTCCGTCCTGGTCCATCCTGTCGGTCTGGATGGAGTCAGATTGTAGAATGAGCCTCGAGCTCAGGACAAAGCAGTGGAATCTTTCTAAAACTGTCTGTTTTGTCACAAAGTCCTTTTGAAGTGTGTGTCTTTTGTGTGTGCGGTGTCTGCGAGTGTCGCTCTCACATATCTCCTGTGTGTTTGTTTTACGGCCAACAGCCTGAACCTCCCTCTCCGCTTGACCTGGGCTCCTGGATGTGAGCTGGGGGCAGACGGGGGGGCCTGGCCCTGGCCTGACCCTCTCCATTCACCCTTCGCCGCGGCCCTTTGTGCGGCGTGATAAATGGCGAGCGATAAGTTGCCATGAACGTGGATTGTTATGAGGCTAACGCGCTCCGCCTGGATCTTTACGTGCTCTTTCAGCCTCTTTGTGGAGCAGCATATGGGTCCAGACGTATTCACTGCCCCGGCCCCCACCGCGGATTCATCACGCTTGTACGTCCTGCTAACAATGCTAACAATGCTAACAATGCTAACAATGCTAACAATGCTAACAGCGCAGCGCTTTCGGAAGAAACGGAGGAACGCAGGGATCAGAAATCCCACAGAGCCCCGGCTTTTTATTTTAGTTTTATACACACGGTTTAGAGATGTTTAAAGACCTACACTGACTCCCACTGACTCCCACTGACTCCCACAGACTCCCACAGACTCCCACTGACTCCCACTGACTCCCACTGACTCCCACTGACTCCCACCGACTCCCACTGACTCCCACTGACTCCCACCGACTCCCATTGACTCCCACTGACTCCCACTGACTCCCACTCACTCCCACAGACTCCCACTGACTCCCACCGACTCCCACCGACTCCCACCGACTCCCATAGACTCCCACTGACTCCCACTGACTCCCGCTGACTCCCACTGACTCCCACTGACTCCCACAGACTCCCACTGACTCCCACTGACTCCCACTGACTCCCGCTGACTCCCACGGACTCCCACTGACTCCCACCGACTCCCACTGACTCCCACTGACTCCCAATGACTCCCACTGACTCCCACTGACTCCCACTGACTCCCACTCACTCCCACAGACTCCCACTGACTCCCACCGACTCCCACTGACTCCCACTGACTCCCATAGACTCCCACTGACTCCCGCTGACTCCCACTGACTCCCACTGACTCCCACTGACTCCCACTGACTCCCACAGACTCCCACTGACTCCCACTGACTCCCACTGACTCCCACTGACTCCCACTGACTCCCATTGACTCCCACTGACTCCCGCTGACTCCCACTGACTCCCACTGACTCCCACAGACTCCCACTGACTCCCACTGACTCCCACTGACTCCCACAGACTCCCACAGACTCCCACCGACTCCCACCGACTCCCGCCGACTCCCGCCGACTCCCGCCGACTCCCACTGACTCCCACTGACTCCCACTGACTCCCACAGACTCCCACTGACTCCCATTGACTCCCACTGACTCCCACTGACTCCCACTGACTCCCACTGACTCCCACTGACTCCCACTGACTCCCACAGACTCCCACTGACTCCCACTGACTCCCACTGACTCCCACTGACTCCCACTGACTCCCACTGACTCCCACTGACTCCCACCGACTCCCACTGACTCCCATTGACTCCCACTGACTCCCACTGACTCCCACTCACTCCCACAGACTCCCACTGACTCCCACCGACTCCCACCGACTCCCATAGACTCCCACTGACTCCCACTGACTCCCGCTGACTCCCACTGACTCCCACTGACTCCCACAGACTCCCACTGACTCCCACTGACTCCCGCTGACTCCCACCGACTCCCACTGACTCCCACCGACTCCCACTGACTCCCACTGACTCCCATTGACTCCCACTGACTCCCACTCACTCCCGCTGACTCCCACTGACTCCCACAGACTCCCACAGACTCCCACTGACTCCCACTGACTCCCACTGACTCCCACTGACTCCCACTGACTCCCACAGACTCCCACTGACTCCCACTGACTCCCATTGACTCAGTGAGGACCAGGAGGAGCAGTGAGGACCAGGACGAGCAGTGAGGACCAGGAGGAGCAGTGAGGACCAGGAGGAGCAGTGAGGACCAGGAGGAGCAGTGAGGACCAGGAGGAGCAGTGAGGACCAGGACGAGCAGTGAGGACCAGGAGGAGCAGTGAGGACCAGGAGGAGCAGTGAGGACCAGGAGGGGCAGTGAGGACCAGGAGGAGCAGTGAGGACCAGGAGGAGCAGTGAGGACCAGGAGGATCAGTGAGGACCAGGAGGAGCAGTGAGGACCAGGAGGGGCAGTGAGGACCAGGAGGAGCAGTGAGGACCAGGAGGAGCAGTGAGGACCAGGAGGAGCAGTGAGGACCAGGAGGATCAGTGAGGACCAGGAATCCTCAGGAACCGACCCAGAAATGGATTGAGGAAAGAGGATGGATGTTTGGACATCTTCCCCTAAAGGACCAACTGTCACCTTTAAAGCTCTGCCCCGTACCAAAGTCTGAGGAGCACAGGGACTGGCCTCCTGCTGGGACTCTGAGGAGCACAGGGACTGGCCTCCTGCTGGGACTCTGAGGAGCACAGGGACTGGCCTCCTGCTGGGACTCTGAGGAGCACAGGGACTGGCCTCCTGCTGGGACTCTGAGGAGCACAGGGACTGGCCTCCTGCTGGGACTCTGAGGAGCACAGGGACTGGCCTCCTGCTGGGACTCTGAGGAGCACAGGGACTGGACTCCTGCTGGGACTCTGAGGAGCACAGGGACTGGCCTCCTGCTGGAACTCTGAGGAGCACAGGGACTGGCCTCCTGCTGGGACTCTGAGGAGCACAGGGACTGGACTCCTGCTGGGACTCTGAGGAGCACAGGGACTGGCCTCCTGCTGGAACTCTGAGGAGCACAGGGACTGGCCTCCTGCTGGGACTCTGAGGAGCACAGGGACTGGACTCCTGCTGGGACTCTGAGGAGCACAGGGACTGGCCTCCTGCTGGGACTCTGAGGAGCACAGGGACTGGCCTCCTGCTGGGACTCTGAGGAGCACAGGGACTGGCCTCCTGCTGGGACTCTGAGGAGCACAGGGACTGGCCTCCTGCTGGGACTCTGAGGAGCACAGGGACTGGACTCCTGCTGGGACTCTGAGGAGCACAGGGACTGGCCTCCTGCTAGGACTCTGAGGAGCACAGGGACTGGCCTCCTGCTGGGACTCTGAGGAGCACAGGGACTGGCCTCCTGCTGGGACTCTGAGGAGCACAGGGACTGGACTCCTGCTGGAACTCTGAGGAGCACAGGGACTGGACTCCTGCTGGAACTCTGAGGAGCACAGGGACTGGACTCCTGCTGGGACTCTGAGGAGCACAGGGACTGGACTCCTGCTGGGACTCTGAGGAGCACAGGGACTGGCCTCCTGCTGGGACTCTGAGGAGCACAGGGACTGGCCTCCTGCTGGGACTCTGAGGAGCACAGGGACTGGACTCCTGCTGGGACTCTGAGGAGCACAGGGACTGGCCTCCTGCTGGGACTCTGAGGAGCACAGGGACTGGCCTCCTGCTGGGACTCTGAGGAGCACAGGGACTGGACTCCTGCTGGGACTCTGAGGAGCACAGGGACTGGCCTCCTGCTGGGACTCTGAGGAGCACAGGGACTGGCCTCCTGCTGGGACTCTGAGGAGCACAGGGACTGGCCTCCTGCTGGGACTCTGAGGAGCACAGGGACTGGCCTCCTGCTGGGACTCTGAGGAGCACAGGGACTGGACTCCTGCTGGGACTCTGAGGAGCACAGGGACTGGCCTCCTGCTGGGACTCTGAGGAGCACAGGGACTGGGGTCCTGCTGGGACTCTGAGGAGCACAGGGACTGGACTCCTGCTGGGACTCTGAGGAGCACAGGGACTGGCCTCACACCGCACAGATCAGAGAATCACAAAGTTCAATATATACAGTCTATGGTTCAAACACAGGAAATGTAATGACATAAGGAGCAGAGACCGTAAGGAGCAGAGACTGTAAGAAGCAGAGACCGTAAGGAGCAGCGACCGTAAGGAGCAGAGACAACGAGGAGCAGAGACCGTAAGGAGCAGAGATCACGAGGAGCAGAGACTGTAAGGAGCAGAGACCGTAAGGAGCAGAGATCGTAAGGAGCAGAGACCGTAAGGAGCAGAGACCACGAGGAGCAGAGACTGTAAGGAGCAGCGACCGTAAGGAGCAGAGACCGCAAGGAGCAGAGACCGTAAGGAGCAGAGACCACGAGGAGCAGAGACTGTAAGGAGCAGCGACCGTAAGGAGCAGAGACCGCAAGGAGCAGAGACCGTAAGGAGCAGAGACCGTAAGGAGCAGAGACCGTAAGGAGCAGAGACCGTAAGGAGCAGAGACAACGAGGAGCAGAGACTGTAAGGAGCAGAGACCGTAAGGAGCAGAGACTGTAAGGAGCAGAGACTGTAAGGAGCAGAGACCGTAAGGAGCAGCGACCGTAAGGAGCAGAGACCACGAGGAGCAGAGACCGTAAGGAGCAGAGACCACGAGGAGCAGAGACCGTAAGGAGCAGCGACCGTAAGGAGCAGAGACCGCAAGGAGCAGAGACCGTAAGGAGCAGAGACCGTAAGGAGCAGAGACCGTAAGGAGCAGAGACAACGAGGAGCAGAGACTGTAAGGAGCAGAGACCGTAAGGAGCAGAGACTGTAAGGAGCAGAGACTGTAAGGAGCAGAGACCGTAAGGAGCAGCGACCGTAAGGAGCAGCGACCGTAAGGAGCAGAGACCACGAGGAGCAGAGACTGTAAGGAGAAGAGACCACGAGGAGCAGAGACCGTAAGGAGCAGAGACCACGAGGAGCAGAGACTGTAAGGAGCAGCGACCATAAGGAGCAGAGACCACAAGGAGCAGAGACCGTAAGGAGCAGAGAATGTAAGGAGCAGAGACTGTAAGGAACAGAGACCGTAAGGAGCAGCGACCGTAAGGAGCAGAGACCACAAGGAGCAGAGACCGTAAGGAGCAGAGACCACGAGGAGCAGAGATTGTAAGGAGCAGAGACCGTAAGGAGCAGAGACCGTAAGGAGCAGAGACCGTAAGGAGCAGCGACCGACCGTAAGGAGCAGAGACCGTAAGGAGCAGAGACTGTAAGGAGCAGAGACCGTAAGGAGCAGCGACCGCGTAAGGAGCAGCGACTGTAAGGAGCAGAGACCGCAAGGAGCAGAGACCGTAAGGAGCAGAGACCACGAGGAGCAGAGACTGTAAGGAGCAGAGACCGTAAGGAGCAGAGATCGTAAGGAGCAGAGACCGTAAGGAGCAGAGACCGTAAGGAGCAGAGACAACGAGGAGCAGAGACTGTAAGGAGCAGAGACCGTAAGGAGCAGAGACCGTAAGGAGCAGAGACCGTAAGGAGCAGCGACCGTAAGGAGCAGAGACAACGAGGAGCAGAGACTGTAAGGAGCAGAGACCGTAAGGAGCAGAGACCGTAAGGAGCAGAGACCACGAGGAGCAGAGACCGTAAGGAGCAGAGACAACGAGGAGCAGAGACCGTAAGGAGCAGAGACCGTAAGGAGCAGAGACCACGAGGAGCAGAGACTGTAAGGAGCAGAGACCACGAGGAGCAGCGCGACCGTAAGGAGCAGCGACCGTAAGGAGCAGCGACCGTAAGGAGCAGCGACCGTAAGGAGCAGAGACCACGAGGAGCAGAGACTGTAAGGAGCAGAGACCGTAAGGAGCAGAGACCGTAAGGAGCAGCGACCGTAAGGAGCAGAGACCGTAAGGAGCAGAGACCACGAGGAGCAGAGACTGTAAGGAGCAGAGACCGTAAGGAGCAGAGACCGTAAGGAGCAGCGACCGTAAGGAGCAGCGACCGTAAGGAGCAGCGACCGTAAGGAGCAGCGACCGTAAGGAGCAGCGACCGTAAGGAGCAGAGACCACGAGGAGCAGAGACCACGAGGAGCAGCGACCACGAGGAGCAGCGACCGTAAGGAGCACACACAGAAGAAAATGTCCATACATGTTGTAGAATGCTAAAGTGTCCTGATCATCACCAATCCTTTCTGTTGGACACTAACTGTCCAACAAGACCCTCCTGCATCCACAAGGAACAACTCTTAAAAAACCCAGTGGGAAAAAGTGAGAAACCTTGGAGGAGAACTAGGGAAACCCACAGGGAGGGAGACCCATATGAGAAAGGGATCCGCTCCTCCGGACGGACAGACTAATGATCTAGGACCTAAGCTAGCTACAGGACCTAAGCTAGCTACAGAACGTGGACCAGTGGACGCTGAACGTGGACAGGTCCGGTGCAGGACCGAAGCACTCCCAGGCGGGTCAGGCGGGGCAGTCCGCAGGTGTAGATGGAGGAGGCCAGGCTCAGAGATCCCGTCATCGTACCATGAAACAGACAATGGGACAACGGGTGAATAGCAATGAACAAACTACAGTCAAAATCCTAATAATGCTAAACAGATAAAGTAGATAAACTAAGAGAACTGTTTTAGTCTAGCCTAGAACGTAGGGTTGAAGATGCAGCGGACCTTAGCCAAATGCTAGGTTGTAGAAGAGTGGCCTTGAATGTGGAGACCGTATCTGCTTCCTTAACATAAATGAAGCTGATTCCACAGTAAAGGAGCTTGGAGCTAAATGCTCTGCCACCAACAGTGACCTTTGAGACCTTAGGGACCACCAGACGTCTGGCGCCTTGTGAGCGCAACGCTCGACCTGGTTGATACGACACTAACGTGTCTTGGAGATAAGAGGGAGCCAAGCCATTTATGGCTTTATATGTTAAGAGTAGGATTTTAAACTTTATTCTGTACTCCACAGGAGCCAGTGGAGTGATTTTAACACCGGAGTTATGTGCTCCCTCCTTTTGGTACCTGTTAAGATCCTAGCTGCTGTATTCTGAACGAGCTGGAAGCTCTTCAAAGAGGCTTTAGGGCACGCTGCCAGTAAAGCGTTACAGTCGAGCCTTGAGGTGACAAACGCGTGAATGAGTTTTTCCGCGTCACTTTTAGGAAATTCCTAATTTTAGCGATGTTCCGTAAGTGGAAGTACACTACTACACTTGTGTTTGTTGTTATTGCATTTCTGTGTTTAAACTGTTTGATTCTCTGATTTGTTGATGTTGCCAGGTGGCCTTGGTCCTCATTTTACAGCCTCAGTCCTGGGTCTACAGCCTCAGTCCTGGGTCTACAGCCTCAGTCCTGGGTCTACAGCCTCAGTCCTGGGTCTACAGCCTCAGTCCTGGGTCTACAGCCTCAGTCCAGGGTCTACAGCCTCAGTCCTGGGTCTACAGCCTCAGTCCTGGGTCTGCAGGCTCAGTCCAGGGTCTACAGCCTCAGTCCTGGGTCTACAGCCTCAGTCCTAGGTCTACAGCCTCAGTCCTGGGTCTACAGCCTCAGTCCTGGGTCTACAGCCTCAGTCCTGGGTCTACAGCCTCAGTCCTGGGTCTACAGCCTCAGTCCTGGGTCTACAGCCTCAGTCCTGGGTCTACAGCCTCAGTCCTGGGTCTACAGCCTCAGTCCTGGGTCTACAGCCTCAGTCCTGGGTCTACAGCCTCAGTCCTGGGTCTATAGCCTCAGTCCCATTGTTATCATAGCCTATCCTGTGTCACCTGTGAAGCTGTCAGCCCTGTGTGGATCCTTGGGTCTGGAACGCTGGGACTTGGTGGGTCAATAACTTGTCAGAGTGTGTGTCATTAGTGTCATTAGTGTCATTAGTGTCATTAGTGTCGTTAGTGTCGTTAGTGTCGTTGGTGTTGTATCTGCTGCTCTCTGCCTCGTCTTAAGTGTCAGTTTGATGGACCACTGTTTGAGACGCTTATCTCTGCACAGACTTAGACCTGGATCAATACAAGACGTGTCAGACCAGAGCCGGCGGGGGCTCCCAGGTCAGGGCTCCAGGACGACTGCACCAGGCCTGGCCCAGGACCAGGTCAGGCCTGGATCAGGACCTCAGGGCTACTGTTTGTGGAGCTAATCACAGAGCAGACACACGGCTCATTAGCGCCTCTGTATCTACAGCTGCAGTACCGCTGTCTGCCTGTGGACCAGGGGGGGCGCACTCTGTGTTACACCAGGTACAAGACAGTTTACAAAAGAACTCTAAAGTCTAGGTGCACTACACAGCCACAGTTGGACCTACACAGCCACAGTTGGACCTACACAGTCACAGTTGGACCTACACAGCCACAGTTGGACCTACACAGTCACAGTTGGACCTACACCACAGTTGGACCTACACAGTCACAGTTGGACCTACACAGTTGGACCTACACAGCCACAGTTGGACCTACACAGTCACAGTTGGACCTACACAGCCACAGTTGGACCTACACAGTTGGACCTACACAGTCACAGTTGGACCTACACAGTCACAGTTGGACCTACACAGCCACAGTTGGACCTACACAGTTGGACCTACACAGCCACAGTTGGACCTACACAGTTGGACCTACACAGCCACAGTTGGACCTACACAGCCACAGTTGGACCTACACAGTCACAGTTGGACCTACACAGCCACAGTTGGACCTAGACAGTCACAGTTGGACCTACACAGCCACAGTTGGACCTACACAGTCACAGTTGGACCTACACAGTCACAGTTGGACCTACACAGCCACAGTTGGACCTACACAGTCACAGTTGGACCTACACAGTTGGACCTACACAGTCACAGTTGGACCTACACAGTCACAGTTGGACCTACACAGTCACAGTTGGACCTACACAGCCACAGTTGGACCTACACAGTTGGACCTACACAGTCACAGTTGGACCTACACAGTTGGACCTACACAGCCACAGTTGGACCTACACAGCCACAGTTGGACCTACACAGTCACAGTTGGACCTACACAGTTGGACCTACACAGTCACAGTTGGACCTACACAGTCACAGTTGGACCTACACAGCCACAGTTGGACCTACACAGTCACAGTTGGACCTACACAGTTGGACCTACACAGCCACAGTTGGACCTACACAGTCACAGTTGGACCTACACAGTTGGACCTACACAGCCACAGTTGGACCTACACAGTTGGACCTACACAGTCACAGTTGGACCTACACAGTTGGACCTACACAGCCACAGTTGGACCTACACAGTTGGACCTACACAGCCACAGTTGGACCTACACAGCCACAGTTGGACCTACACAGTCACAGTTGGACCTACACAGCCACAGTTGGACCTACACAGCCACAGTTGGACCTACACAGCCACAGTTGGACCTACACAGTTGGACCTACACAGCCACAGTTGGACCTACACAGTTGGACCTACACAGCCACAGTTGGACCTACACAGCCACAGTTGGACCTACACAGTTGGACCTACACAGTTGGACCTACACAGTTGGACCTACACAGTGGACCACACAGCCACAGTTGGACCTACACAGTTGGACCTACACAGTTGGACCTACACAGTTGGACCTACACAGCCACAGTTGGACCTACACAGTTGGACCTACACAGCCACAGTTGGACCTACACAGCCACAGTTGGACCTACACAGTTGGACCTACACAGCCACAGTTGGACCTACACAGTTGGACCTACACAGTTGGACCTACACAGTTGGACCTACACAGTTGGACCTACGTAACCACAGTTGGACCTACACAGCCACAGTTGGACCTACACAGTTGGACCTACACAGTTGGACCTACGTAACCACAGTTGGACCTACACAGTTGGACCTACACAGTTGGACCTACGTAACCACAGTTGGACCTACACAGTTGGATATATGTTAAATACTGTATATGTTAGATATATGTTAGGTATATGTTAGATATATGTTAAATACTGTATATGTTAGATATATGTTAGGTATATGTTAGATATATGTTAGGTATATGTTAGATATATATTAAATACTGTATATGTTAGATATATATTAAATAGTGCATATGTTAGATATATATTAAATAGTGTATATGTTAGATATATATTAAATACTGTATATGTTAGATATATATTAAATACTGTATATGTTAGATATATATTAAATTCAATTTGGAGAGACGAGAAACGAAAATGGTTTTGAGTATTTATTGAGGTGGTTTGGCGCCCTAGGCCCCGGTGCGGCCTTCAGATCGGAGAGGCTCCTGCGATGGAGCGCGTACAATCCCCCGGGACCTAGGCACTGGTGGCGGCATTTTGGCAGATTGGAGGCAGATTGGAGGCAGATTGGAGGCAGATTGGAGGCAGATTGGAGGCAGATTGGAGGCAGGGTGAAGAGGAGGAGGAGGGGAGGCGGTGGTTGCGAGGCTTCGAGAAGGCAGAGAGTGGGAGTTGCTCCGCTTTTAAGCGGCTGCCTGTCCGGCACGGATGATTGGAAGGGGGCGTTTGCCGAGCGATAGGCTGGGGAAGCGAACCGGCCTGGAGGGGGTAGCTTTTGGCTGACGTCTACCAAATTGAATTTTCGCGAGCTACATTTCAATTTGGAGAGACGAGAAACGAAAATGGTTTTGAGTATTTATTGAGGTGGTTTGGCGCCCTAGGCCCCGGTGCGGCCTTCAGATCGGAGAGGCTCCTGCGATGGAGCGCGTACAATCCCCAAAAAGGCTGAGTGTGTTGATGGAGTTTTGCAGCCTGGTTTGCAGGGAACAGACGTCGTGGCTACTCTATGCTGTGACCGCTATCGCTATATACTGTGACCGCTATCGCTATGCTGTGACCGCTATCGCTATGCTGTGACCGCTATCGCTATGCTGTGACCGCTATCGCTATGCTGTGACCGCTATCGCTATGCTGTGACCGCTATCGCTATGCTGTGACCGCTATCGCTATGCTGTGACCGCTATCTCTATGCTGTGAACCGTTTATGCGCTAACCATTTTTTGCTATGCTGTGACCGCTAACACTAACGCTATGACCGCTACCACTGACGCTATGACCGCTATCACTGACGCTATGACCGCTATCACTGACGCTATGACCGCTATCACTGACGCTATGACCGCTATCACTAACGCTATGACCGCTATCACTATGTGCTGTGACCGTTATATGCGGTTATCTTTGAGTGCCGGGACGTGAGCGCTCGCATCGCGATCAACCGGACGCTGCGGCAGGGTTATCTTTGAGCGCTGGGACGTGAGCGCTCGCATCACAATCAACCAGACGCTGCGGCAGGGTTGTCTTTGCGCGCTGGGAACGTGAGCGCTCGCATCACGTTCCGTCAGACGCTGCGGCAGCGGAGAGTGTTTGAGAGAAGTGCGTGCCGCCACCAGAATCTTATTGGTTCACTTACTTTGCTTCGTATTGCTTTGCTGGGAGCTTACGAGGAAGCCAGTTGACGTTGTGCAGCCAGGATAGCGGACGCGTCTGGCCTGATGTAGGCGGAGAAAGCCGCAGAGGACCGGCGCCCCAGCTGTTGCAGAGAGGTGTGGGGGAGCCCCAGCGAGGCCGCGATGGTCCTGGAAATAAACCCCCCAAAACCCACGGAAGGGGCACGTCCGTGTAGAAGCCGAGACCTGGAGGGGCAGAGACATATCGGAGAGGGCCATGAAGTTGCAGGCGCCCTTACGCTTAGAATCTTGGGTTGGAGAGTAGATAATCAGGATAGTAGGATGGTCGGGAAAAGCCGTGTCTCGGACCGCACGAAGGTTGAGTGTGCAGTAGTGAAACGCTTATGCAGAGAAGCCATGGAAGGCGAGCAGGAAGATGCTGCGAGGAGGGCAGACATGTACTTGGAAGATGAGCCGGAGTTCAGTGCCGCTGCAGGATGGGCAGCATGATGGGGAGCCTGCGATCAGAAGAGTGAAGAACACGGTATGGATGCCTTTGATTAGGAGTCCAATTGACGGCTCAGCGCAGCTACTCGGCCAGCTGCATCTGATAGAATCAGAAGATTAAGTAGAGAGATGAAGCACGACCGCCGAAGTGACCCTGGGAGCATAGGTGCGAGTCCAGTGCCGCGCGGCATACTCGGCCGGGCTGCATCCATTAGAAGCAGGATAAGCTTCTGGGAGAGTGGGTTGCAGCAGTAGCAGTAGCAGTAGCAGCAGCGGCAGTAACCTCAGATAGTAACGGCAACGACCTGTATCAGCCGCGGCAGCAGCAGCTGCTGCATCCGTAGATAATAACGGCAAAACCCTGTATCAAAGCCACGGCAGTAGAATATGTTGTAGCTGTTTAGTGTTTCAGTAAGAGAAGCGAAGTGAAGAGAGATGACGAAGTACATGAAGCAGCAGCAGCACGGCAGTAGTAGCAGTATGAAGCAGCAGCGGCAGCAGTAGCAGCAGTAGCGGTAACAGTATGAAGCAGCAGAAGCAGCATTAGCAGGAGCAGCAGCACCACGAAGCGATTCATACGAACAGACAGACGTGTCACGCCGGCGTGCGCCGCTTGTCTCCGTGAGCCAGGTTACGTACGTGTCTGAAAGAGCCGAGCCACAGAGACGGGTGCAGCCTGGGAGCCTGCGGAACGGCAGCGGCACATGTAGTAGTAGGAGCAGCAGGAGCAGCAGCAGGGACAGACAGCAGCAGGAGCGGCAGCAGGAACAGGCAGCAGCAGGAGCGGCAGCAGGAACAGCAGCGGCGGGATCAGGCATCAGTAGGAACGGCAGCGGGGACCGGCAGCAGCGGCGGTCAGAGAACCAACCCACGGTTGTTTAAGAGCCTGAGGAAATAAATCAACCCGAATCCGAAACATTCCCATGCGAATAAAAGACGTCCCCTGGAGCCATCTTCTGCTTTGGTTATGGCAGATGCGCATGAACGATCACTGATCCATGCGTTCATAGCTCCAACACTACTTCACACCCATTGCAGATTCACGTTTGGCCCTTTTTCTTCCTGCTGCACTTTCAAAATGCAACACTGCAGTTAGTTACCTAATTTAATACCAGCGACCTAGCTATTTAATGCATGGTTTTACTGCAAGTGGCAGAACATGATCTGAATTAATGCACATAGCTCCTCGTATATCCCTCAGACGATAGAGATTGATGCCATTTAATATGCATTGCCCCTCGGTTAGCTCAGACACATGTGAAACGGAGCCTGCAGACCAAGCTCGGGGCGGAAAAAAAACTGGCGCCTGCAGTCAAGTGCGTAGGGCAAAAACCAATCGCCTGCAGCCCAGAACTCCGGGATTAATCTGTCCGCGGTCAGCACACTCACTGTACTCACATGCCAGGAGACTTGGGAAAAGCAACGGGACAACGCGGCACCGCCAGACCTTCTGCGTGCGGCAGCAGACCACGAGGAACGAGCCGCACAGAAACCCGCGGAGGGCCCCGCGGAGCAGCCCGCAGAAAGAGCCCGCAGAGGAGGAAAGCAGTGGGGATATGCGAACCACAGCAGGTGCAGGGACGTGGAAGAGGAGCAGACCAGTGCAGGGACGCGGAGGAGGAGCAGACCAGTGCAGGGACGCGGAGGAGGAGCAGACCACAAGCAGCCAGACGGAGGACGCCAGGGACGCGCCGAGTAGCGTGAGTAGACGAAAACGATTCCTCCAGACGATTCTCTGCAAGGCTTCAGGAGCTTGCGAGGCTTCGAGAAGGCAGAGAGTGGGAGTTGCTCCGCTTTTAAGCGGCTGCCTGTCCGGCACGGATGATTGGAAGGGGGCGTTTGCCGAGCGATAGGCTGGGGAAGCGAACCGGCCTGGAGGGGGTAGCTTTTGGCTGACGTCTACCAAATTGAATTTTCGCGAGCTACATTAGTGCATATGTTATATATATATTAAATAGTGCATATGTTAGATATATATTAAATAGTGTATATGTTAGATATATATTAAATAGTGTATATGTTAGATATATATTAAATAGTGTATATGTTAGATATATATTAAATAGTGTATATGTTAGATATATATTAAATAGTGTATATGTTAGATATATATTAAATAGTGTATATGTTAGATATATATTAAATAGTGCATATGTTAGATATATATTAAATACTGTATATGTTAGATATATATTAAATAGTGCATATGTTAGATATATATTAAATAGTGTATATGTTAGATATATATTAAATACTGTATATGTTAGATATATATTAAATAGTGCATATGTTAGATATATATTAAATAGTGCATATGTTAGATATATATTAAATACTGTATATGTTAGATATATATTAAATACTGTATATGTTAGATATATATTAAATAGTGCATAGGTTATATATATATTTAATAGTGCATATGTTAGATATATATTAAATAGTGTATATGTTAGATATATATTAAATAGTGTATATGTTAGATATATATTAAATACTGTATATGTTAGATATATATTAAATAGTGCATATGTTAGATATATATTAAATAGTGTATATGTTAGATATATATTAAATAGTGTATATGTTAGATATATATTAAATAGTGCATATGTTAGATATATATTAAATACTGTATATGTTAGATATATATTAAATAGTGCATATGTTAGATATATATTAAATAGTGTATATGTTAGATATATATTAAATAGTGCATATGTTAGATATATATTAAATAGTGTATATGTTAGATATAGATTAAATAGTGTATATGTTAGATATATATTAAAATAGTGTATATGTTAGATATATATTAAATACTGTATATGTTAGATATATATTAAATAGTGCATATGTTAGATATATATTAAATAGTGCATATGTTATATATATATTAAATAGTGCATATGTTAGATATATATTAAATACTGTATATGTTAGATATATATTAAATACTGTATATGTTAGATATATATTAAATACTGTATATGTTAGATATATATTAAATACTG